GTAGTTGGCGGTGGGTGGTGATGGCTAGCTGCCGTAAGACTTGTCAAAATGCCAAATCTATTTATAGCGTGAAGAATAATATTTAAATTAATGTTTATTCTATAGTTTACCTAAAATAGATTAATACAAAACATATTTTGCTTCAAGTTTGAAATGAAAGTTTTCCTCAAACTTACCAGGTGGCGAAAAAGAATTGTGACCAAATGCAGTTTAGTGTAATTTTAATTTCGCACTATGTACCTGGAGTTAATTATTGTTATATCGATGTTTTTGAGATGATGGAGTATATGTGTTATAATTTGAATTAAAGGTGGGTCATAAAGAAAGAATATATATATATATATATATATATATAATAATGATATAATAATAGTTCTGTAACTTGTGTGCAAGGCTATAGTAAGATTAATGTTATTCACTTATTGTTAATAACACAATTAGTGAATTACTTAGAAGTTACCATACAAGTAACCCTGATAGTAATACTGTATTATATTTATAGTACCAGTAGTAGTACTAGAAGTAGTAGTAGTATCAATAACATACTATTACCAACTTCTAAAGTTACAACTAACTAAAATTATCTGGTTTGACAACTTTTTTAAGTTTTGTCAACTCAACAACCAAAAATCAGAAAGTATGCAGTGGGGCAGAGATTGAGTAGTATTTAGTACTAATAGTAGTAGTAAATACTAGTATACTACTCATTATTACTAGTTATATTACTGTAAATTGTAATATATTTTTAAGTGGTGTTGATGTTTCTCATCTGATCCAATAACTTGAACAAGTTTTAAAGTGCATAATTAGGAACTTTTACTAGCTTAGCTCTATCTATAAAAGTATAAGCACCCAAGAGTGGTTGTTCAATGTAGCCTTGTAAGTTTAACCATTTTTAAAATAATTAAGAGAACTAAAAATAACGTTAAAAATAATAATACTTCAGTTTGATAACACTATATTTATGAATAGCTGTTAATAACCTTATTATTTTATAGAGCTACAACACACAAAAGTAATTCATTTTGTTACATTTCATTTGTCAGATAGAATATTGTTAAGATTTAATTGTTACCTGGATGATGGAAAGGGAGTGATTTGTATACTTGAACTTTCTGAAAGCTTTTCATAAAGTGTTACACGAAACATTAGTTACATTGGTAGGGGTTGGAGAAATCTTAGTAAATTGAATTATAGGATGGCTGAATGAGAAAAAGCAAAATGTTTTTAATGCAATCTAGTCAAATTGTGCTCTTATAGAGTTAATATTATTGAAGTATCTCAGGGGTCAGTGCTTAGTGGGTCTTTGCTTTTTATTAGTTACATTAATAATATTGATTGGGGGTATAATTAGTAATTTAGTGAATTTTCCTAATGGCATTAAACTCTTCAATATTTCTACCTATGTTGATAAAGTTCCAGTATCACAGAATGATCTTGATCAATTGGTAAGTTGGACAAATATTTGACAAGTAACTGTTAATTGTAGTAATTGGGTTATAGTGTGGTTAACACATTTAATATAGGTGGGAACCAGCTCTGTAGTTTGACTGAAGAAAAGGATAATAACATAATAGTAACTAAGTGTACACAAGCCTTTGTGACAGCATTATATTGATAGTAGTACAGCTAATGGTATTTTTAGGTTGCATTTGTATACATATTAATACAAGTCAAAAGTAGTAATTATTTCCCTATAAAAGTCACAAGTTAGGCCTCACTTGGAATACTGTGTACAGTTAATTTCTTTGTGCTATTCTCTGAAGAATATAGGATGTGAGGAGACAAGGGTAAGATTTTGAAAAGACAAGGTAGCTTCGAGTTTTAAAAAGTTTTATTTTTTTAACAGGGTGATTCATTTATGGAATGAGTTGTCATCAGCAGTAGTGGAGGTTGTTACTTTCAACAGCTTCAAAGGGGAATCAATAATTTATTGCAAAATAAAGGTGGGTTATGTTTCTATTATTTCTGAAGGGTTGAAAATGGCCCTTTGTTGTCTGCATGCTATATTTTTGTTATGTTAATAGACAGACTTTTTAATTTATGTGTAAAAATATTTTTTAAACCAATACTAAAACTCTTAAAAATTTTAATTAATTCATTTCTAATCAAAGTACATTATTTTTCTCCATTATAGTCACCAACAATTTAATCTTGTTGTGTCTTCCTTACATGTTATGAATAGTTTTAAATTTTTTGTTGCACAATTTCACTGACTGTGTTAGAATGTATGGCATATTTTCTCACAGGTAGTATCAGCTGTTTCCATATATATATATAGAATAGTATGAAACTTGTTACACATGAAATGTTCAAGTAGAATACAGCTGAAAGATGTGAGAACTGCAGCAAGATAAATAATTTACCACTGGATGTTATATCTAAATATAGTAAGGAATGGTATAAAAAAACCTTGATTTAAGGGCACAGTTATCAAAATATTCACTATTCCAAATTTTAGGATACAAGTATCCATATAAATGAACTGATTTTATTCAGATATAGATATGCATATATATTCTTTTCAGAATTAGAGACGTTTAGCATTTGCTTTATATATACATGTGTTGTAAGGTTTATTCTTTTGACTGGCTTTTGTAACAATTCCAGTTAACGTTGGACTGAACACAAAAACTAGATATTCGGACATGGTGAGCCTTGCTAATCGTCTGTCAGCCGAAATTGAGGTAAGTATTTGTAATTTTCAGGCAGTTACATAAGCATGTGCATACTTGGTATTCAATCATGTTTGGTATATATATCTTCTGTTTAATAATACCATACAAATATCTACTGGCTAAATCAATTTGTCATCAAGAAGGGTGGATTTCGAGGATTAGGACAGGTTCAATGAAAAATTACAAAACTGGAAAATACCTAACACTCAGAATTATAAATCTAGGATTATACATATCTTCCATGGAGATATAAACTATAGGACATACACATGGACCACTTACACAGGACCCCCAGCTTAGAGGAGCCCTGACCACCAGAAAAAAAATACCTGAACAAGATTCAAGAAATAAGTGAATGTGACAGTTAGAACCATCCCAAATTAGGAATACATGTCAAACATAGACTCTTTTATGTTTTACCATAATGGTACTGTTTTATAAGCCTATCTATTATTTCATGGGGCAGGATACAGAGATATTTTTTATTATATTTAATTTTGGTTATTAAAGTACGAACAATATTGGCACAGTCAGTCATGTATGCATGTATTCTGCTAAGAAAGATTTGACTCTTTTTATCAATAATGATAAGTAAGGGCATTGTTTTGACACTTACAGCTGTATATCACATGTTGTGCCTAATTTAAGGAATGGATGAACAAACTTTCCATATTGCACAGTTGCCCAAAACTCTAATCTAGCATTGGTCCATTTGACCCATAACAAATAGAAACCTAGTTACTAATTCCATCCATGATTACCCAACTATTGATTGGCTCTTCTTTTTTTTTTAACTCATAAAACTGTAGCCTCTATCATTCTAGATGGCAATTTGTTCTACAAATATACCACCTTTTTTGGAGAGATAAAACTGCATCAACTGAAGATGTGTGTGATCTTTCCAGATCTTAAATTTATAAACTCTTGTCCTGTTGCCCATAGAATTCAACAAGAATAAAATATTATGTATAAATCATATCTCCTTTAATAAACCTGAATACTTCAAATAACTCACTCTTGATCCTATGTAGCCCATGGACTATTTTATTTTCAAGAGACAGAAAATTATCTTAACCTGTCCTGTATACCTATGTAGGAGAATTTATATTAGATTCAGTCTGATTCCATAGTTATGCTTTAATATTGATGATACAAGTATATTTATGTATCTTTTAAGTATCATTGTATATTTAGTACTTGTATAACATATGGTATGGTAGCATGTTACTTATTGCTTTGATACTGTCAGTATATTAATTATAGATAATATTGTAAAGGAGAAAATCAAGGATAAATACCTTAAGATTAAGAGTTAAAATTGACAGATAGGTTGGAAGATTAGAGAAGTATAAGAAGTCTGAAGATTTGATTAAAGTAGAATTTACGAAATCTGAAAGGGCTTATGAGAAACACTGGCTGTTAATGTTAAATCTACTATCAAGGATTTTTGGAAGTATGTTAAAGTTAAGCAAGACATTAGAATGGGGATTAAGCCCTTAAAAGATACTAATGGCAATGTTATTGTTGAAAACATGAAATGGTTGAGCTTTTAAATGTTCCCTTCTGTTTTTACGAGAGAAGATATTAGGAATATTCCTGATCGTGAACATTCAATGAGGAATGTTGGAATTGATGTGAAGCATGTAGATATTACTCCTTTAGCGTTAAATAGGAATACTGAGAGATTAAAAATTGAAAAGTAAAGCACCAAAGCCAGGCAAGGTTTTTCCCCAGGATTTTAAAGGAGGTCAAAGATAAGGGTACTTTTCTGTTATACCCCCGCAACTGTTTCTGTTAAGCCTAATGTTTAAGAACCAATTATATTATTTATTTTTATCACTAGTTTGTCTTCACACTAAAGTAAATTATAAAACAGGATAAATACATTGTTTTATTAAATAAATTCAATATAAAAACAAGTTTTTAGTGTTTTAAGATTAACTTGTTTACTTGAACTTCAATTCATTTGTTTAAATTCAGCCTAGGTAGGTTATAATATAAATCAGCCTAAATACATTGTATTATTAACACTACGTATACATTAAAAACTACTTATTGTCACTTCTAATAAAGTTCTCTTAATTTAATGTGAAGACAAAGTAGTGATTTAAAAAAAACTTAATTTAATTGGTTCTTAAACGTTAGGCTTAACAATAACAGTTGCGGGGGTATAAGAGAAAAGTGCCAAGCTAAGATATGTGAGCCTCTCTCTTTTTTTTTGTTAGGTTAACAGAAAGAGAGCAGTTGCTTGACGATTGGAGGGTTACTAATGTTACTACTATATTTAAAGAGAGTGATATGAATTGTCCTGGAAATTATAGGCCAGTTAGTCTTACTACTATAATGGAAAAAATTCTAGAAAGTCTGATACAAGAAGCTTTAAAAAGTCATTTAGCAAAATATTATATTAAGTGAAAGTCAAAATGGATTCACCAGAGGGAATACCTTTTTCTAGTCTGTTATTTGTTCTTAATAATTTTACTTGTTATCTAGATAAAAGAAAAGTGTACATTGGTGTTCTTAGATTTTCAAATAACTTCTGATAAGGTGGCAGACAAAAGATTAGCCAAGAGAATAACATTATCAGAGAGTTGGGAAAAGACTGGTTAATTGGACTGTAGAGTGGTTAAAGGAGAAAAACCAAAATGTTGTTATTTATTGGGTCCACACAAACTGGACCCTTTTTTTACTTGTGGAAGTTATTTTTCATATTTACATTAATGATATTAATAGGAACATAATCAGTTATTTGTGAAAGTTTGCTTATGACATCAAACTCGTGTATTTCTAGCTTTATTGAGGATGTTAAATATTACATTGGTTAGTTAGACAAATATTTATAAAATAACCTTTATTGCTAGTAAGTTCAAAGTAATCATTTTGGTTATATTTTGGATCACATGATTATCATAGATAGGAACCAACTCAATAGTGTGACAAGAAAAGGATCTTGACATTGATAGATAAGTCACTGAAGTCATCGAAGCAGTGCAGTGCTCTGTTGCTGGTAGTAAAGCTAATAGAATTTTAGGATGTACTGATAGACATAATGATACAAATCAGAAGAGGTAATTATATATCTATACAAATCACTAGTTTGGCCTTTCTTGGAATACTGTGTACAGTTTTGGTCTTCTTATCTTCAAAATGATATTGACTTCCTAGAAAAGAATCAGAGGATGGCTATTAAAGTGATTCTAGAGATGGAAAGGTTATTTTAGATGGCTAGGTTAAGTACTCGTAAAATATTTTTGAAGTTTACAAGATTATGCAGGGAATCTATAGAATAAAGATCTCTGTTTTCTTTGTGCTATATTCTGAAGATAATAGCATGAGAGGACCTAAATTTAAGATTGAAAAAAAAACTGGCTAGGCTCCAGTAAAGACAGTTGTTTTTCTAACAAAGTGATGGACTTGTATAGAGAGTTGCTATAAGCAGCAGTGGAGGCCAACACTTTATAGGAGTTTAAGAGGGGAATCAGTAACTTTTTTAAAAGTAAAGGGTGGTTTTAAATTAGTCCTTGTCTTGAGAGTGAGTAACTGTGCAGAACAACCTTGAAAAACCATGTGGTTCAATGTTGTCCATAGATTAGACTATGTCAATCATATTGTGCCATCAATTCTGAGTGGTTGTCAGAGGATTTTGTGGGTCTTTTACTGTTCCATTTTAAGTTGGATAAACTTGTATGTAACAGTTTTGAATTTGTCAGTTCAATTCTATATCCTATTTTTGTATCAAGTTTTGCAAGTACCAGTGTAATTGTTTGAATTACTTACTGTATTTCTGCTTTAGTCAGCACCAGTATTTGAGAGTGATGAAACCCCTATTCTGGCTACATCTCGTGAAGCACCTGAACAAATTCCAAATCAAGTCTTTGCATTGCTTGTCATTAGTGGACAACTCTTAAGTGTAGTAAGTCTGTAGTTCTTACATACAGTTTTCTTGAAAGTTCTAACTGTTAGAATCACAAGAGAAAATAGTCCAGTCAACAATAACCCACATTTTTAATATAGATGAATAGATGGATGGATAGGTAGTTGAAGAAAACTAATGTAGATGAGAAAGGTTTTTGTTTTACAACTATTGCATGAAAGTGACTTCAACAATGTGTATGATACCCAAGGCATATGGTATTGAATTTGTTTATTATTTATTTTTTTAGATTAGACAGCCTTTTTTAAGTTTAATAAGTTACTTAAGCCATACTTTTGGCCTATCCCACATGTAGTATTAAACTCAAACATTATAATTAAGAGGTATTTAAATGTAATTACAAAATTAAGGCATAGGTGTATGTATCAGAGTCTGAGGATAATTTTCAATGATAAAAGAAAGTTAACATTTCCTGTGCTTATGAATATTTTATTTCTATAAAATTATGTTGGTATTTCACTAACTTTATTTTTAAAGTGAGTAAAACAGTCCTACCATAATAAAAGAAAAATAGTACAAGGAATCACAAAAAAAAGATTATTAATGATAATGAAATCAACCAAGAAGCTCAAGCAGTTTTGCAGAATCCAAATACGTGCTTCTGAGTTGATTTCAATATCTAAAACAACCCTAATATAACCATTTTCCTTTAAAACTTATTATTTTCATGGATTTTAGTTGCATTTATATATTGTTTCCAAAAAATATTTTGTATCAATGTTTAAACTGTCTGTATGTTTAAGGTTAAAACAAAAAAATTGCTTATTTTCTTGACTTTATTTTAAGACTCGATTAGCAATATGTGATAGTTAAGAATAATAAAAATAAATGCAGATTTTGCATAATCTTAATAAATGGTCTTTTTTCATGATATTTCATGAAATATTCAAGAATTTTTGCCCCACAGAAAGTGAAAGTTAAAGTCGAAGTTTAAGCTTAGTAGCTTTTGTAATAGCATATGCGTAATATTCACTTCTAGGCCTAGAAATATAAAACATATCAATACAGATTGCAAAGTCAGCAACATGAGACAATCCAAATATTTATATTTCACTGCTTTAGGATGTGATTTACCTGACAACTTGAAAATTAAGTGTGGATAATTATCTCAATTATGGTAAAGTTGAAGTTCAGGATTTTTTTCATTAATACTCAAGTGTTATAGATATTGTTTATATTTTTAGAAAAACTTATTCTTGTGTATTTTACAACTAAACAAAAAATTATGTCCAAGTAAAGTTAAGAACCCAGCTCTATGCAAGTAGTTTAAATATTAACTGTAAACTACTTGAATTTTCAAAAGTTATCAAGCATTTCAAAAATAGGAAGATATTGGATAGATTTGAATTATGTTATAGTGAGTTGAGCAATAATTGAAAAAGGTAATGCACAATTTATTGAGGGGGGAGGTTCAATTCCTTATGCTGTATAAAAGCAGTTTTTATTTCTTTGTTGTTTTTTAACTTGAGACACCTTTGAATATGAGATCATAAGTATTTGTTGAGAAAAACTTAACTGCTTTTTCAGATTGGAATGGTTGCTGTATCATTTATTCTACCATATATATATCCATCTGAAGAGGCATGGAAAATCAAGCCTTACTTCTTATTAGTTTACTGCCATGTGGTACTTTGGGTCTTGTTCTTTTTGGGAGACCTGTATTTACGATACTATCACCATGTGCTGTATTGTTATGGCCACATTAAGTTCTACCAAACCACCAAGTTGTTGAGGAGAATGTTGTTTTACATATTTTCAGCAGGTAGGTGTATATTTCAATGTAGAAAATCTTAAGATTACAGAAAGTATTGTGTTCTCAGGACCTGTGCTGTTGCTTCTTGTAATATATCTATTAAAAGTCTCATGTGAGGTGCATATGCTTGGGTTGCTGTTGGGTATATGCATTAAATGCTATCTTTTACTGAATATTGGTGTTTTATAAACAAATATTGAAATCTTGTAAACTGTAGCTTTACCTTGTTCAATAGTAATGAAGATACATAAACCTACAGTGTTGAATAACATAGTTTTGAAGAAATTAGTGATAACTAATAATTACTTATATACTGGAACATTAACACAAGATACAAGAAGCCTATAAAATCTTACGTACATACTGCACACTTAAACTGATTGTATAAAAAAAAAGTATTTATTGGAATTTTTTTTTATTTATAACTTATTCATAATTGTTAGTAGTGAATTTATTTAAGTAAGTAACATCTTTATCAATTATATTTTCAACTCTTTATATCCATTCCATAAATATGTTTAATTTTAAGTTGTCTATTCTGTTTAGCACCATTTAATTAAAACATTTATTTCGTGATCTGTTAATTACTTGATTTGTGCAATTCTATTAAACTTTAGTAGATTCCCAAAATTTTGAACCTTTGCTCATTAAGAGCTACAAATTATCTTTAGTTCTGATATCAAGGTTTATAGGAGAATAAGTACAAGGTGATTATTTAAATTTGCAATGAAAGGATAAAATATTTTGTAACTCTTCAGTGGTTATATTATGTAACACATAACTTTGAAATAAAGATTCTGTAGCCATTGGTCCTTTTGCAAGAATAGTTAATAGTTGAGTATTTAATTTTGGAAGTATTAGGTAATAAGTGGTGTACAAAAATATCTTTGACAATAGATTCTAATTTAACTATTTCTATACTTTGGAACTATAAGGTAAACCATATATGTTTTTGTGATCAGCTGTTGTTTTAAGTTTAATTGCTGACAAATATCAAGTAACAGCTTGTCTACATTGTTCATCAAACTTACTGGCACCTGTAATTAAGTTCAATTGAAGAATGGTAATTTAACTTTTCTCATCGTTAGAAAACATGAAATTCTAAAACATTTAGTTTGATCAACATCTGGGCAGTCTCATTGCAAATTCCCTAGGGCATTAACTTTCTTAGTTCTCTGTTTTTGTCCGTGAATAATGTGTAATCAATTGAGAAGAATATGCATTATGTAATGGCAGAGTCATCAATATCTTATATTACTTTCTGCATAATAACCTACTCTGTTTATTAGCCTTGATGATGGTGAACTAAATAGTAACCAAAACATCAGTAAAATAAAAAAATGCTACCTAACTGGATGGTGTCAAAGCCTTGATGATGGTGAACTAAATAGTAACCAAAACATCATTGATGTTTTGGTTACTATTTAATTCACCATCATCAAGGCTTTGACACCATCCAGTTAGGTAGCATATTTTATTTTACTGATGTTTTGGTTACTATTTAGTTCACCATCATCAAGGCTTTGACACCATCCAGTTAGGTAGCATATTTTATTTTACTAAAATAAAAAATGCTACCTAACTGGATGGTGTCAAGTTTAAATTACTTTAAGTCCCCCTCCCCAAAAAAAGTATCTAGTTTGTTGTAAGTGATTTGTTATCAAATTCCACAAGTAGGAATGGTAAGACAATTTTCTGAAGCTTCCTTTGCTCAAAAAATGTATATAATTTTAATGTATTGGCCAAGTTATAATATAACTTGTATAACCCAGAACTTAATATGATTATGTGAATGGATAATGTACCTATTACCTGTCAGACAAATTCCAGGTTCTTTTGTATATGTTAAAATAATACAGACAATCTGTATCATCAGAAATGTTTGTTCATCAAGATTCCTGATCCATAAATCTTTAATCACAAACTGCTATGATAAGTATGTTCTTTCAAAATAATTGCAGAATGTGATTTCACTGTACAAAGTTCACTAACAAAAATAAAAGTATCTGTCTTTGATTTTTAAAATACTTGTATAAAAAATTAATTGTTTTTGAAGAAAGTGGAATCCTAAAATTAAGAAGTATTTCAAAAAGCAAATGCCTGATATTGTCTTCCATATTTTATTTTTACTTTTATGGTAGAAGTTTATTTTTTTGGTGAAGAAGATATAGGCAAAACTTTTTAAAGAATTCCTTAAAGACATTATACAGTTGATGTGAAATACAAATTGTGTTAGAACCATATTTAACGCAAAGTTTCTTTGACAATTATTTTGTGATGTATGTGTTAATATCTGATAATATAAGTTTATCATAACTACCTGCACATATATTTTATTTATTCTGTTATAATTCTGTCTTCACCATGTGTCACATTAAATGGTGTAAATAGTTATCTTCTGTTTTGGCACAAAATGAAAACTGTCAGAGAGATATGCTAAAACTGTCAGTGAGAAATGCTAAGACTCTCAATGAGAAATCCTGAGACTGTCAGCAACAAACATTAAGATTACACATAATGTTCTCTGTACACAGTAAAAATAAAAAGTTAGCAACTATTTGAAAAATTGCATTCTTGTTAGAATAAAATTTGAACTTTTAAGATGTTTTTTTAGTTTCTTTTTCTAACTATATACAGGGTGTCCCAAAAAAATGTATACATACTTTAAATGCTTATATCTAAG